GGGGGGGGGGGGGGGGGGGGGAACAATGTAGAAATGAGCACTGGAGACCAGACATGTGCTTTACAAATCTCAGTTTATTCTCTCTGTGCAAATCAGTGCTACTTAACATTACTCACATTTCACAGTGCAGGGGGCAGAAGTGATTACAACACTGCTTAAGCTGCAGTTCAGTGAGATCGTTCTGGGTCCTGGATCCCAGGTGATCTCCAAGTGCCGATGATCTGGAACAGAAAAGAACTGGACAGCCAGCATTACCAGTAGCTGTTACTTGTTATATAAGCTACCTCCACAGCATCTCCAAGGGAAGCCTGCTCTCCTCCTCAGGCATCACAGCATTCATGGCTGCATGCAGACTCCAAGCATTTATAGCCAGCAGCATATAAAAAGTTTATGGCACAGTTTTCACATCAGAGCTAGCAGAGACAGATAAGGAATGAGCAAACAATAAGCTCTTCTCAGAGCCACTTAATGTTATAGGACAAAACAGAACAAAGTTTAGCAGTGGAAGGGAAATCTGGTCCCTAGAGTAAGAAGGCAGGGTCCCAGCCTGGCCAGCAGCACTCGAGGCCTGCTGGCTGCTCCACTACTGGTCATCACTGGGACAGAGGGAATGGGGCATGAAGCCAGGCAGCCCCAAAGCTTGGAAAAATGATTGAAATCCCTGTATATGGCCAACAGAAGAGACCCTTGGGGACACTGTGCACAAGTAGCTCATATCCATTAGCAGGAGGTTCTCTGAGGAGACAATCATGTGTGACATGGAAATTTCATTGTGCAATATTGAAAAAAAGGAACACGTCACTTGAAGCACCCTTCCAGAGCTCACAGTCAGGCCACACTAGCTGTACAGTGCCCTGTCACTGTTCAGGTGATGAGAGGATGAAACCAAAAAATGGATTTGGGAAAGCAAGAGCAGTTCCCTCACCAACAAGAGGGAGCCTAGCACAGGGCAATGACATGAGGGAAGCAGGGGGATGGCTGGACAGTGTACCACGGTTGGGTGGTTCAGGCACCAGTACCTAAAGTAGCAGTCAGAGCCACAAAGCTCATCAGCAGCGAATGGAGAGAGGCTGCAAGTCCCATCATCCACAGGGACTGACTGAGGGATGGCTCAGACTTCCTGCATTTTTGGAAGGGCTTTTCCCTGCCCAGCCTGTCCACAGTCACAGGCTCTGGCATCTCCTGGCCACAGTGCTGGGAGGGAAGAACCCTTCTTTGCAGGAATCTGACCCCCCTGAGCTAGGTAATGAGGCTGTTTAGAGGCAGTGTTGCTGTCTTCCTGGAAAGAACAGACAGTCACAGCACAGCAGAGCTTCCTAGCAGTATCATGAACGGAAGGCTGACTGACCCATTTTCAATGGAAAACTCTGCTTCTGTTTCCCATTTTAGTTTCTCCCTTCAAGACATCTCATAGCAACAGCTTTGCTCTGCTATTAGCAGCCTGTCCTTTTAAGGAAAAGCAAGAGCCCATTAATGAGCCAAATTTATCACTGGGGGAGCTCTGCTGACCTAATTACACTAGCCACATATTTGACCCATTATGTTAACCTTCCTCTGCCTCCTCCACAGTTAAAAAGACGACACCTTTCAACTTAAATCAGGACAGCAGGGAATATAAAAAGCAAGAATTAGGAAAAATAAACAAAAAAGCCATGCTGTTCTCAGCATCCCACAACAGAAGACCTGAAGCCATAACCTGAAGTGAAAGCACACACATCTAGAGGGGAGATGCATCAGCAGTGGGTGCAGAACAGCCCCGACTGAGTCAGCTCTGACTGTGTGTACGTACGAGCACTGGAAGGATGCCTGAAGGACGGCCACCTACAGGGTGGCCCCGGCAACATAGAGCCAGTCGGCAATGGCAGTGGGCAGGTGAGTCATGACCTGCAGCCTCACCCACCAGTAGATCTCCATGGGACTGTAACGGTTGTTCGGGCATGGGGAGGTGAGCGCATCGGTGATGTCATCCAAGACCAGAGACATGTCCTTCAGGCCACTGTTAACGAAGGACTTCATCCGGGCCACGTGGCCAGTGAAATAGTCCCTCCCGTAGTCCTGCCGCACGGTGTCACTGGCCCCGCTCCACAGCGCCTCAGCCTGCCTGTCGATGCCCTCTGCCGTCAGGATGCCTGTGGCTGCCACGAAGTTGCTGGGCTCAATGAGGATGACTCTGACACCCCAGCGGTACATCTCCTGCCGGAGGCAGTCGGAGAAGGCTGCCACTCCAAACTTGGAAATGCAATAGCAGGAGCGAGATGGGCTCACCATCCGTCCCAACATGCTTGTGATATTCACCACACGGCCTAGAGACAAAAGAGCAGGGAGAGATGATGGGCTGCAGAAGAAGTAGCCAGAACATCCCCATAAAAAAGGTGCTTTGTTGGATGATGCTGATTTGTAAAATCTGAATCTTGAAGAGGCATCCAAATCCCCTGTCAAGCCTTTCTCTTCTGACCCAAGCAAGCCTAGTCCCTGCTCTGACCTCCTCCATGGACAGTAGACATGCCTGCCCTGTATTAAAAAGGAGTTACAACGCATGAAAGACATTTCCCTCCTAATTTCCAAGTAGGGAAGTACCCAGACTTTCTGAGGCTACTGCTGTGCTCTGACATCAGCGGGCCCCACTTCTGTGTCTTGCTAGAGAAGCACTTAGGCTCTGTCCATCCCCAAGACAACGTGTGCAATTATGGTTCCAGATGCACTTACAAACAGGCCCTTGAAATCTCAACAGCTATTTTTACAGAGTGGATTTTCACAGCCGTGGAACACCACACCCTTCTGCAGCTTGAAATTTTAGCTGAGAAACAAGCGGGCAGCTCTGCCCTCTCATTCCAGACCTAAGTGCAGCTTGGAGGGACTGTGAGAACCACCTGCTGACCAGATGGGTAAGCCACCTTTTGTAGGGAGGTGGGGCTTGATTAGTGGGTACTCTGAAATTGGTATCTGAGCAATCTTCTCATTATAACCCATTTCTGTCCTTACAGAAAACACAGTCGTGCCAGTATTCTCCCACACATGCTAAATAAATAAGCTCTTCAGAGTTCTGCTCATACATATCTCTTTTTTTTTTTAAATATAAAACAAAGACTTTTGATAATACTGTTGTCTTGTAAGGTATCTAAAATGGCTGTTATTGACTCTCATTTATTTCACCACTACCACTCTGCAATTATCTGTAAATCAAATAACGTGAAGGGAGAAGATTCAGTAATCCAAGCATAAGCACTCAGTGGACTCTGGAGGCCCGGATTATCTTGTCTGGCCTCCAGTCACTTTTTCTAAAGATGGCCTGGAGTCCTGTGTTGTATCTGCCAGCACTGCACAAAGGTCTCATATGCTGGGATGTTTAAGATAGCAGAGGCTGTGTAGGTGCCTGGACTGCCCCAAGAGTGGCCTGTACTACCAAATGCTTACACAGCATGTTGAACCCTGCTGTCTGGTTTGCCTGCACGCCTCAGACACCCTCCCTGGACTGCACAGGCATTCCTCAAAGCACAGTCTGAGTCATGATTTTTAGCTACATCTCTTTTCTGTGCTGCAAAAGATATCTCTGAGTCTTGCCACACTGCCCAGCATGTACCTTTAGCTCTGCGAATGAGGGGCAGGAAAGCCTTTGTCACCCTCACAGTGCCCCACAGGTTGATCTCTGCCACCTTCTTGTAGTTGTCTAAACTTGCAAATTCCACCTCTCCGAAGGTTGAGACACCAGCATTGTTCACCAGGCCCCACAAACCTGCCAACAAACAAACATATGGTTAAAGAGTGGAACAAAGAATAGTGTCACAGAGAAGCAGCCTTCCTTGTTGTTCAAAGTAACCCAATCCCCTGACAACAAACTGGGAACTTTTGTAAAAAAACACTGTAGAGAAAAATCCAGGAAGGAGATGAAGTACACTCTTGGTGAAGCCAGCAGGGCTTGTTTAGAACATCAGGTCACACAAACATTGCTCCCTTGAATGTCTCCTCTAAGGTCAAATGCTGTCCTGGGCCTCTGTATGGCTGAATCTGTCTGACACTCTTTTATGCTTCCTGTTGGTCCCAGGTTTGTCTGCATTCAGTGATTTTATCACAGCTTTTGCAACTTGGGAGGGGGCTGGACCTTCCCTCAATTTGAAAATAAAAAATAAAAACTGGAAATAAAACAAGCATCTTGGATTTCTAAATCCCCTTCACAACTCTGTCTCACTGTTTTGGAGAGCATGTGGTACTGAGCTGCAGGTTCATGGCTCAGTTAATAACTGCTGTATTTTAGTGCAGGTATTTGGTTTTCCTCAACCTTAAGTACAGCAGAAGATGGCAAACTTGCAACCAACCCTTAAAACTACTAGAATTTAAAAATGAACACCTTTTGAGCATGCAGTGCTGGCAAAATTAAATTGACTGCACTTACCACAAGCTTCTGCACTGAGCCCTTTACATGTCCAGGACTTAGCAGGTCCCCGAGGACTTGACCCTTTGAAGGGATTACTGCAGGAGTCCCAGTGGCAAACATTTGTAGGACTGAGTCTGTACTTTGTGAATTTGTTGAATCACGGGACTATGCAGCCATAAACTGCAGGAGGAACAAACAAAAGAGCTGGAACAAGATAAGAGAGTTGCTCCTCATTAGATGTCCTGCCATACACCATGGTTATTTTTCACTGTGTAAGTACTCAGCTGGAGTCGGGGCCCCTTTCCACTCCCTGACCTTCCTCTTACCACCAAGAACAAATACAGGGCTAAGAAGGAGTCTTCATGTCAAGGGAGCTATGACATTGCTTTCAAAAGCACCCACGTCATGCCACCCTGTTGATAAAAGTTATCAAGCACTCTCTGTCAAAATTTTTTGGGCTGTTTGCCCTGCCTCTGCTCCATAGCTTTCCTGCCCTGATGTATGAAAGTCTTCCAGTAACTTCCAGCCTATATTTATTCATGGTCAGATAGCAACTATGTATTGTACTGAATACAGCCCTCTAAGCAAATTGCAGTATTCTACAGTTGCCCAATAAATACCAATGAGATTTATCCTCCTGGTGCACTTAAAAACACCAACATGACCTTGATAGACTGGCTCTCTACTCTCACAGTGGCCCTAGTAACCCTGACCCGTTTCCAGCTACATTTGTTTTCCCTGAAGGCTGTTGACCAGCCCTGTAGAGCTGACCAGAGAAGGTCAGGTCTTACCCAGTTGTAACAGAGCACTAACCATTCCCTCATGGTCTGTCCCAGAATGGATTTGCCTATTATAGGTGCCGCCATTCATTCCTGCATCTCCCAGCTCACCTGTCTCTGACAGACAGTGGTGAATACTGGTCCAGTTCACTAGCCTGCAGCTTCATCCCCCTCCAGAACAACCCTCTCCCAATCCCCACCAGGTCACAACAGCCCCAAGGGCTGTCTGGGATAACAGCTAAGTCATAGCCAGCAGCAAAAGCCAAGAAAACATCTTGCTCACCTATCCTTACTTCTGGTTTTATTAATTTAAGTTTCTAAATGCTGCAGTCAGGTAGTTGTACTCCTGCTCTGCCCAAGATCCCTTGCCAGCACTGCTGCACTTACTGAAGCTACCAGCTTTAATGAGTGAAGATAACTGAAATTCACACTTCTCTGGCAGCCAGCACAGCATCTCAGCCTGAATGGGGTCCCCTGAGCTGCTGCACAGTAGGCTCTAATCACAGGAGGACCACAGAAACAGGGCACCTGACAGTATAATTTCACCAGTAACAAGAAGCTATGCAGAGAAAATTTGTCAGGGATTTACCAAAGACCACGAAAGACTTAAACTGTCAGTCCCAAACTGACCTCTGCAGAGTACTCCCAATCCTAAATTTCTCTACAATGATTTCCCATTTCTTGCGCTACAAGGTTAGGTTCAGTGACGTTCATGAAAACGTTATTTACAATAGTTCATTCTTGGAATTTCATTGCTCACCGATCAGGTCACATTACGTACAGAACAAAGTGCTGCTGGGTACCCAGTCACAGGGCTGTTTGCTGGACAGCAGTGTGTTTACCGAGCAGAGCCTTATCACTACTATTTCTTTAGTGTCAACAATACAGTGGGAACTGCATGAGATTGAAAACAAACAGGGGCACTCCTATTGAAATTATTTTAGCCTTATGTACACAGCACAGGAAAAAGAGGTATCAACGTACAGTGCAAGAACTGTTCTGCACTAGCTCCTCTGGGGCCACACTCAGGGTGCAACAAGCATCTCCACACAAGGCACCTCAGTCTCAATAGTGTCTGTGTTCCAGCACTTACTGAGCACTATTTATTGGCAAGCCGCAAACCTCAGTCACCAATGGGCCTAAAAAAAGAAGCCTTTGCTGCTCTGTACACCGTGCTGGAGCAAATATCTACGGGATAAGGCTCTCAAGAGCAGGAGGAACCGGTCCAACTTGCTGATCAAGGATGTAAGACTTCTCTGTCCTTGCTACACATACAGTTTTACAAACACTGCTGCATTTATAGAAACAACAGAGCTGTTCCCTTACAAGCTTTTGCTCAGTGGGAAATGGACCTGTGCCACCACTGCTGTTGCTGGGCTCTTCAGGAAAAGCTTGAGATGATGTGAGATGTGTGATGAGGGCTGGGTGGCTGTGTAGGAAGAAAATTCACGCAGAGAGAACATGTGTGGGATCAGAGCTCGTATGTAACTCCGGTTACATTTCATGTGCTTCTTTTGGGAGGAAGGGTGTGCTCAAATAATTTGCATGAAGATTAGAGCTATTGTTATTTACTAGCTTTATACTTGCTGTGAACAAAGGCAGGCCCGTGGCAGTCTCATCAAGGCTTCAAGAGGAGCAACCGCCCTGCAGCCACATGACCCTTAAAATCCTGGAGCCACAGATGTGAAACTTCAGTCCACCCTCAGCCTGGGTCTACAGCTGCTGTCCAGCTTGCTACTTGTATGGAAGCTGCAGAGAAACCTATACAGGGCAAGCAGCCTCACAACCTCACCACACAAGAAGAGGTTACATGATGTCACCAGGCTCTGACTATAAAGCTCACATCCCACTGCTAAACCACTTTCAAGAAGGAAAGCAGCACACAAAAAGGACTCCTATCTTCTTTCACATGTTTTTAGGGTTCATGCTTTGGTCTTGCACTTAAAGTGGTCTATGCCAAACCCACCCTGGATCCTGCTTCACATCACCTCTGGGATGTTGCATGGCAAACTGAAAACATGGACTTACCTGGCTGAAAAATAATCCAGGTTTGGGGGCAGGTCAGGTTTGTATTCCAGCTCAGCACTCCGTTACACAAACAGGTTATACCAGCACAGCAGAGGAGACAGCAGTAAACAGCCAAGGCCTGTCACCTCTTCACTAGCAGGATCACTACAGAAAGGTCTGTGTGAGCCTGGCTGCAGCAGAATCACCAGGAGGGGATCAGGCTCTGGCCATCCTAGGCTCTTCACAGACACTCCCAGGAGAAAGACACAGGTTCTTGTGGGCTTGCTGCCACTCATCACTTTTTACAGGATGTAGAGTTAGACCTAAACCTCCAGACAGTCTTGGTGTCTTTCCCCGGGGCTGGCACATGCACAAGACAATTTTCCTCACTGACCCAGGTACAGCACTGCCTGACCACCAGCCACACACTGTCACAGGCATCCAGGCTTGTAAACCCTCTTTTGGCAGTGCAGAGAGGGAACGACCTGGCCAGTGCAGGGCCTGCTCTGTAGGAAGGATACTGTGAGCACAGCAAAAAGCCAGCTCTGCTGGAAATACAAAGATCCCCACATACCTTCCTCTGGCTCCTTCAGGGTCCTCTTTACAAAATCCACAGCCTGAGCAACCTCCTGGTCACTGCACACATCCATCTGTAGCACCTGCATGCGATCTGACTTCATGTTCTTCAGCTCCCTGGCTCCGTCCCCATTCTCATCCTGTCCAGCAGAAAAGAAAGATGTCCCACTAAGACAAGGAACAATAATGCAGCTTGTGGCCAGGCACGTTCACGTGGACAGGAAACAGAAGCTACTGAAATTCCACACAGAGGTGTAAACCTGGTGCACAGCAGCGCCCCTGTATCTGCATCAGCGATCCCCTGCACTGAGGGGCCACAAAGCCCCTGCTGTTAGCTCCTAGCACGAAGGGTTCCACATCTGTAACACTGTGAAATACTGTGCCAGCCTGGGGTAACTGTGGATGACTCTCCACTGCCTCAGTCTCCATGCTCTGCATGTAACTTGTACAGAAAACAGAGTCAGATTTTCTAGGTTTAAAAGCAAAAGGCTAATTAGGCACCACACTCGTGTCATCCCAAAATACTGCCTGGCTTCTAATGAAATAGTATTGTTAGACCACCTTGAAAACAAGACAGCAGGGACACCTGTGGCATGCCTGAAAGCCAATAGTCTGATGCTACAGGATACAGCAGGAAACATTTACAGCTGAACCTATATAATAATATTTTGCTCTTAAAACACAGAAGAACAGGATGTACAGGAATGAATGCACAGCGGAGCTCTGCCATGTGACAAGAAGATTGCAGACATGAGGCATGAAAGGAGGAGATTCTGGCTCTGCTTTCCTTTCTACCCTTTTCCTTTCTTTCCTTCCCCCCCCCCATTATCACTAGAGATTCTGTTACTATTATGGGATCTTTTTGTTTGTTCAAACATAAACCCAATTTGAATTTCAAATTTACCAAGTCCCTTCCAGACAGGATTGCTTCCCAAGCCTTAGAGACGTGCTCAGGTGATAGATAAAAGTGGAAAGAGCATGGATTAGCCATGCAGTTCCACAGCAGGCTCAAGATTTAATTCACCAAACGACTCCCTGAATTACAGGCTCTGCCTGATTAGGGAGGAAGAAGTTATGAATTGGTGAGTCACCATCCCTGGCTGCCACTCTTCCTTTAGCACTTGATACCAACTCCCACAGCACAAGGGCAAACAAGGTGAGCAACCCTCCCACAGTCACCTGCTCAGCTAACTGCAGCGAGGCTGAAGTAAAAAACATGTAACCGCCTAGTTTTTCTACATGTATCTCAAGCTATTTAATGAATATAGTATACAACATCTCACCTCCACCTTCAGTCCAGTGAACAATGACATGTAATAAAGGAAAAGAGCTGAAATGTTCATCACAGCCTTGAGCAAAACAGGGTAGCTCTCTTAAAAATCAATATATAGTTAAACTGGCATTATGATGATATCAGGAATGAGTTGCTGGCCCCATGGCTGCATCTTATTTCACAGCTGACTTATTTCCAGTTATCACAAAAATAGCAAATAAAGACTTGAAGCTTTTCTAATGCACATCAAACATGGTGACATGCTGTGCCTAGTCCTCTTATCTAGCCACAAAAAGAATCTCTGAAAGTGGCGTTACAAGTAGTCAATAACACAGTCACCAAAATATTATATTCCCTTTGAAATGTGTGAGGGTTGTGTAATGCCTTACTGTATTTCTGGAAGATGCTCTTGCATCTTGCTGAGTTAAACAAAGTAACTTTCAGCTACTTAACAGTGAATAAAGTCGAGCTAATTCAGCTTGTAAAGAGAGAGATCTACTGTATCTATATAGAATCAAAAACTTAAGTATATCTGTATTCAAGTACCAGTTGTCCTTTCAGAGCACTGTAAACACCTTTCCCTACATATTTTAATCTTTCATAATCCTTGTGAACTAAAGAAGAAATATTTCCACTTTTTTTTTGAGAAACAAAGTCTTAGGCCAGCAATTTAAAAATCCAGTATAAATGGTTTGTATTACTCATATTAAAAGTAATTTTCCCCTATTGTCAATGCAACTCAATCTGCAAAGTTACCTTCCCAGCTACAATTTATTCATTGTTGACAAAACATTGATTTTGGAAGACTGACTTCAACATGCAATATCAATTGGAACCACTTCTCATAGTTGTAGACACCACCTCAGCCACTATTTAACTCTAAAACAAATTGCTTAACTCTTATGTCCAGGAAACCTCTTCACAAATGAAGCAGCTGCATATTTTTATGGAAAGAAGTGAACATCATCTTATGTTCTGTGGTCTTCAGAGGCTGTAAGCACATTCCCTGTTCAGGTAAAAGGAGGAAGTACCCTGTGGGGTTTTTAAATAGTAGATTTGCTGGCTGGGAAAATACCTGGAGCAGTTCCTGTGGGAGCAGCCAGGCTGTCCTCCCTTGGATGGCCTTTGTGGCCTTAGGACTCACTAGCAGGAGCCATGCAGGAGTGTGAGTCGAGTGGGGTCCTGGCAGCAATGGACCAACTGCTCTTGCAAAACCTCTCTCTCTCCCTTTGCTGTCTGATTTTTGTCCTCTCAAATAATGTCCCAGCTTCCCCTTTCCAGCTCCATCAGAGTTGAAAGCTGCCCTGCTACAGCCCAGCCTGCTGTCCAAGTACTTTCCAGAGAGGCCTTCAGTGGGCCTTCACCATTTCCTCGCAGCTATCTCATTTCCCCCAGTTATCCTGCCCTCACAGCCCTGCAGGGCTCTGCCCACCCCACCCTTGGCTAGCAGGGGCTGCTCCTGGGCGGGGAGCATGACAGACACACAAGTTCTCTCCACCCAGAAGAGCCTTGCTCCAGCTTTCGGCTGCCTTCCCCTTCCCCTTGCTCATTCCTCTCCCCTGCTCTGGTTCGGAGGATCCCAATGCAGCTGGTGCTGAGGGCCAGGCAAACCACACAGGGGCTTGTTAGCAGAGAGCCCTCCTGTCATAGACAGAGCCATGGCTTTTTCCGAGAGAATATTGTAGGACTCAGGATTAGGTCCTGGCAAGCACTCGAGCACCTGCAGTGAGATGTCAGTGGTAATCAGGAAGCCACAAACACAATGCTAAACACCCGTGGATCCAGGCAGCTTGCTCTGGCTGCGCCAGTTTCCCCCCACCCTGCTGCTCCTATCCACCCGCTCCCTTCCTGCATTTCCTGGGCAGAACACCTCGTACTTGTCATGCCTCAATTCCACCTAATTGATTTCAGACTCCATCCGCTCTATCAGGATCATTTTGAACCCAACTGCCCAAAGGGTCAGCAATCCTCCCTGCTTGGCACCATGGACATTTGTTTCCAAGCAAACTCTCTATTCCAGGGGCCACTTCCAAGAAAATTTCCCTGGGACTGAACAGCAGTCACAGGCTTAGAACCTAAATTTGCTCACGAGGGATTGTGTCAAAACCCTTATTCAGGATACATTTATTCCTTCCTCCTTAACCACTGTGCTGCTTAGCCAGAAGATTAGACTGACATGTCACAGTCTGTTACCAGTAAACTTATGCAGACAGCATATATCACACAATGATCTAGACATTTGTAAAACTGACAGATCAGTGTGTTGGAGTTTCATCTAGCACAGTGAAGGTGAGCTGCCTGGTTAGCAATTCCAGAGGGTCTGTCTCCTTTGGGAAAGGAAGTAAAATGTTTGCACTCTTCCAGCCTTCTGGAAATCCCCTGGCCTTCAGGTGCTCCTGAAAGTATCACCCATGGGGCAGAAATCACAATGGCTCATCTCAAATGCTCTTCAGTACATTTTGTCAGAAGCTGTGAAGACATCCATTTATGTAAACATTCCTTGTTCTTTCCCTTTTTTTGCCTGCAGTCCTCATGAAAACTGCTGGCAGTAGACATCTGGAAACAATATATCCCTTTTTTCAGTAAGATCAAAGAAGACAATGATTATTTCAACTTTTTCTGTACTTTTTACTTTTCAGGTTATTTTGTAATTGATTTCTGTGTGTTTTTCCATCTTAATCCTAAATATATTAACAGAAACTTTCTCTGTGGACTTACTTGTCCTTGCTATGTGAAATCCCTTGCGCACTTGAGCCTCTCCAGTTCTATCCCAGCCTACTTGCAGTGTTCTTGTTATTCCTGTAACTTTTAATTTTGATCATTAAAGAGCTCCTGATGCTCCTGACGGTGTACTATCTTGTACTTAATGAAAGAGCTTTCTGTGGTAGTTAGTACATCAGGGATCCATTAATTCTCTGTACAAAAGCATGCAACTAAGTGATGATGGAGTAACTATGTGTGAACTAATAGCCTGGCATCAGCTCTAGGACAACTGCCCCTGTACCTGCTCTGACCCTGCAGTGAACCTACAGCAGCTCACATTTCTCTCATGACAGGGTAAGTTTACTTGCATTTGTCATGAGCAGTTACATGCACACTGCCAGTTACTGTAGGGTAGCTGCATCCTTAGCCACACTGCAGATGCTCTCCTTCACTTATCAGTAATAATTACTCATATACCTTGTTCCTCACAAGTGATCCAACCTAACAGCTCCCTCCCTGCCTTCACTGATGTTTCCTGCTTCTTTTGAACGCATCAGCCTTTTCTGTAGTCACTATATGCTTCCTTTTATCAGAGCAGTCAGCTCTAGACAACCACACGCTTTCTACCATTAGGTTTTCAGTAAGGACCTGCTCATCAGATTTTAAATTCTCAGGCTATTATCTCCCTGAACCATCTAAAACACAAGGCTGTTCCATGAGGATGCTGGCTGTCCGAAGAAATGTAGAAAGCATTTGGCTGTAATATTTTTGCAACAGCTATCCAGATAACTGTGTTACCACCAGACCCTGTCCTTCAGATGCACCTAACAGTAAATAAGACAACAGTAACAATGGGGGCAGGGGTAGGACACACACAGCACAAATGAAATCCCAGGTCTCTGAGTCCAGGTCTCCTAAAAATTTATTAACACACAGAAGAAAAAACACGTTTTCCCCCTCTCTACCCCTTCAGGGTCAAGTGCTCAGCTGATCTCCTGAAAGTTACCTGCAATCAACTACGATTGCTGATGGATTTTCCACTTCCGCACAGAATACAAGTACAGAACCACAAGAAATTTGGCTTCAAGTAAGAAGTTGCCAGACAGGATGCTGAGAGCTGCCTAATCATTTTGAGACAGGTAATAATCTGTGATTAAGAAGTAATTATTTTTTCATCAATAAAACATGCAAGCAGGGCTCAATTTGGGAGTATTCAGTTTGTTTACGTAACTTCAAGTGCAGCCTAGCCCTCTCTGCTCCACACTAGTGTGCTGCCTTCTGAATAGATCCCTCAGACCACCCCATCTCCCCTCTCCCTTGTGTTCCCTACACCTGCTGCTCTGCAAAGTGAGCACTGGACTTGCTATCACCACAGAGACAAGCATCCCAAAGCAGTGTATGACATGATTACTGAAGGATTTACAGAGCCTCCACATGGAAATTTCCAAATAGTGGCAATTTTCCAACAGGACTCTCTTGCACTCAAGTTACACAATATGTCAGCTGATAATAACTTTCCCTTCTGGTGCAGTGGAAGAACGTAACCTCCGCTGAGATCACATGGGCAACAAGGACCACCTTTCTTTCTTTGTTCTCACCCTCCACACTACTCAAGAATCTGTGATCACTCCCTGAGCACCTGTGCTGAAATGGCCAACTTCAAACGGAGAAACAAGTGGGTATGAACTAATTTTGAACAATTCACATCAGAAATTACAGAAGTTTTCACTATCAAAACATCAAAAAAAGCATAGTAAGGGTAAAAGCCCAGCTGCAATGGACGTGGAGCTGACCCAGTTTATGTTGTATAACCCATAGTTACGTGCAAGAGCGGGGACTGGGACGATGGGTCTCCAAACCCTTCTGACTCAGTGTGCCTAAACTGATCTCTTACAAGTGATGACATCTGCCAAACGCAGAGGGCGAGACCTACAGATATCAGAAAGGTATGGTAAATTTGTTTATTCAGCTATCCAGAAACTGAATAGCTTCTACAGAATAGCACAGTTAGGAGACACTTTGGAAACAGAACCTGCACAAGACAGGAGAGGCAGCTTAGAAATAAGTGTGACGAGAATGCCCTGAAAGTAAAGGGATAGAATGAAAGACAACAAAAGAGATGCCAGGGAAGACTGAAAGCCATAGTGCCATAGCAATCTTGGACTATCAGATTTTTGAGTGTGTTGTGGTATGGCAGAGAGTCTTCCAGCAGTGAACAGTGCCCTATTGTGCAAGCTACTGCATGAACATGCAGTTGACAGACAGAGGTCAGAATTACAGGAATGACACCATGCAGATGAAGAAATGGAAGATGTAACAATACCTGCCCACTGCACTTTCCTCATGTCTTGGACTAGGGTATATGGAGGCTGCAGATGAAGATGCTGTATGCTGTCACTTGAGAAGCATTTTTCTCCAATCAGAGAAGAATTTTGATCAATATTACTACTTACCATGAGCAAGCATCCAGCAAAAACAGTAAATCCCTTTGCGTGAAGCTGTTTTGCCAAGGCATGTCCAAAACCTTTGTCACAGCCTGTTATTAGCACTGCCTTCCCTTCAGCCTGTATAGGGAAAGACAGTAAAATGATATCATCAGATATTGCAATGCTGCAGGCTCCACCAGCACCCAACGACATGGCACAAGAGCAGCTTGCAGCCTGGGCCAGCCAGAATTTAGGAGGTACAATTCCAGCTGCCAGTTACAGTGGCCATGTACCTGTCTGCACACTAACCTGACCGCAGTCTAAACCCAGCAATTTCAGCAGCTTCTGCTGGGTCAACCAGTGTAAATGAGTTGACGAGATCCCTGTGTAGAAACACAACCACTTCTCAACTACCCTGAAACTCTAAATTTATTCATTTGCTGGTCTGTAACAATTTGTTTTGCCTTGACACCTGAGATAGAACAGTAACCCTTTCTGCGAAGTATCAGTGGTCAAATCACAACAGAAACATTTCAAAAGAAGTTAGTGATCTACCAGCTCACAGGCATTTAAAGAGCAGCATAGAAAATATCCAAATAATGGTATGTCACCTGCTTGAACTGTACAGCAGCTCTTTTAACTGCAGAGTGACTCTGTTGTCTGTTCCCCACCTCCTCCCACTCTATGCGGTACTTTCCATGCTGTATTTTACCAAGCAGGAGTGTGAGTACAGGTTAGGATTTCCTTCTGAAACACTGCAGTCTTAACAGGAACAACTTATCAAATCCTACAGTTCTCTGCTACATTATTAATATCTTTTGACTGACAGATAAATTGAGAGAGAAGATTTGATATTCCATCTGATATGACACAACAGGCTTGTGATAGATCTGAAAACAGAATCCCAAATCCTGAAGAGAAGCCTGCAGCAAAACACTGCCCATTCACCCTCTTTCTTTGCTTGAAAGCCATCTCTCTCCTGCTCTCCTCATCACAGCTGTGAAGCAATGAACTCTTATCGCTTAACCCAACTTGCAGGCACTCAGCTGCAGTGCTACACACTGCTCCAAACCGAAACCATATCCATGAGGCAATAACCTGATATAGTAATAAAGATCTAGAGACTGAAATAAGGAAGTGAGGTCACTTCCATCTCTGTGAAGATTATCTGCAACTAGTAGTCTCTCTTACTGTATTAACAACAGCTGGAATACGAACATTTGTATCTTACACTACTTACACATGAATTGCACTGCCTTGTCCAGCCACTTTTTCAGAGAGAAATGGGGCAATCACCAGTGCTCTCTGCTCTCTTGTTTTGCTGACATGAGTGGTAGTGAAGTGGCAATAAGGAATAATTGCAGGGTGATAGCGATCAGAGCATTACTGCACAAACGCAAAATGAGCCTAAGCAGAGAGCAATATGCAAACAAGCTACACCCTGTCCTATAACTCTCGTTGAAGTTGCTGCTTTCAAAGGGGAGTCACGATCTGAAGTTGAAATGAGAACTGATCAAAAGTCTATCCTGCATTTATCATACAAACACCCACAATAACACTGATTCTTGAACTCAGAGAACAGCCAGGCTAGCTCTACTAAAGCTCTGAAGGTAGCTACAGCTAAAGGATAAAAAATAAGAGAGAACTAAATATACAGTACTCAGTCTTAATTTACAGTGACACAAATGCAAGAGAAGTAAGGATCAAGCAAGAACCATATCATGGAATTTACCAAGGTTATCTCCCACAATAATTCAGCAAGTTGGCCTATGGAAAAGAAAAGCTTTGACTTTTTTCTCTGCTTCACCTTCCTACACCCTTTGCCTTTGAACCCTGAAGACAAAGAACTTCCCCAAAGAGCAGGAACTGTGAAGTAAATAAGGAATTATGGTCACTTCCAAAACCCAGGACAGGCAAACAAAGAAGACACCCAATCCTCAACCACCAGTAATTAGCTCCTTCATCTGCCAGTCTGATAAGGACAGAGCTCAGCTGGAGGAAATAAAAGCAAATGACTGTGCTCCTCTCTGCATTTAGGTTTAGCTCTCAGCAGATGTTTTGCTTTCTCTGGTTAAAAAGAAAACCAAACCACCAAAATGTAGACAGAAAGGAGGAGGTTTAAAAATCCTCTCATCTATTTATAATAGGGAGCAAAGTGAGGAACAACTTACAGTATGAGAAGGTTCCTGTGATTATTTATTTGATATTAGCCTAATTGCTGGTAATAAAACATGTAAAACTATAGGAGCATGGTTCAGAATAGATGGGAGGCCGCAGCACCACTAATGTGCAAAAACTCAAGGGATGTACTAGACCTCACATCTTTAGTGGCCCCTGTCTTTGTGCCACGTGTGATGGACAGCAACCTCTCAGGGATGAGAGGTTGACTGTTTTTGGCCATTCCCAGCCAAAAAGATCCTATCCCCCCAAAATAAAACCCCAGACATCCAATCATCCTTATCTTTTGAAAGTCCCAAGATAAGGCCTAATGGGCTTCGATTCTGGAGTGTGATAAGGCCAGTCTGCAGCTTAGTTTGTCAGGCAAAGAGTACTAGCAGGCTTTACAGTGACCTTAATCAGCATTCTGAGGAACTTCAGGTGCCTCACTAAGGGTCACAGTGTTCTCAGGAAATCCTGCACAGGAGATAGCACTCATGTGCAGTGCTGCCAGGGTACCTGAGACCTGCTAAGAGAGCAGAGAAACTTCTACTGGAGGTGCTGCTGTGGCACCTGAGCAGGGTAATACCATCTGTATCCTCACTGTGTGATCCACAGCACTGTAATACATGTTCCACACAGTTCAAACAGCCCCAGTGAGGCAGCCTGATTTTAACCTACAGCCAGCTGAGGTGCACACACCTCACTAGCTTCTCCTACTGGGATATGATCAGTTTGTTAAATACTAGAATTTAATTTTACTCATGCAGCTGATTTATCACATACACACATTCATTGCTAAATAGGTTAAGTAAAGCAAAGCTGCTTTGTCAGCCTCAGTCTCTCTGGACAATGTGGGAACTCACCATGCTTGCCTAGACTTTATCTTCTTCTACTGTGTCACTAGTTTTTTGGATCCTGTTCCCTTTTATCCCCCTCCAATCACCTGCTTGTTATCAAGCAGACTAATTTGAGGATGAGAGCAGTTACACTTTGCTTGTGCCTTTTTTTCCAGAGTCAGGAAACTGAATTTTTCAATCCCAAGAAAGGGAACGAGAAAATTCACTAAAGTATTTCCTCACGCAGGACAGGGATGGAGGATGCTGGAAGAGCAGAGCAGATGGAAGAAGAGCTAAGTGGGAAGCTGCAAATTGGCCAAAGCTGTTACATGGCTGTTTCAGTGGGGCAGAACTGAGCTGGAGGCCCTGGAACAAAACCACGTTCACTTGCAGGTTCTTCTCAGTGCCTGCAGAAAGGGCGTTTGGAGTGTAAGCAAGAGCCAAGTTAACTCCAATCCAACTAAAAAAACCCAGATGTTTAGTGTTATTTTTTTAAAAAACACATACAAAAGACTGGCTATGCAATTCTGTTCCATTCGCAGGGCAGTTTTTTCTCCCTTACACTCATTTCCAAGTCTAGAGCACTTAAAATCCACACGCCTGCTGCTGTTATTCACGACATCCTGTAGAGAACAACTACTTGACATTGTGCCTACCTTGACCTGAAGGCAAGGGCATGAAATAGATGCCGGCTGCTGATCAGCAGGAACGTCATCAGAGGAAGCAGCTACGATGCGCATGCGATGCTAGCCCACACACAGCACACTAATGTACCATGAGCCATTTTTGTCATTCTGCATGACTGAATTCTGGAGACCACAACTGAGATTTTTAAAACACACAGATGGTCCTCGAATTGAATCTGTGCTTGTAACCATGCATTAGCTTTTTGTTCTGTTACACCAAAAAAGGCAGTCCTCAGTTTGAAGAGTCGAGTATATAAATGCTACCTTGATGCATTAAGATACCGGTATAGTGACAATATTGCCTTTCAGATGAACAGTTGGATTTCCATTTCAGGCTTAGCAGCTTGTGAGTACTTCAAAAAACGCAACACATTTTTGCCCTGAGTACAAGATGCACAAAGCATAAATACACAGTAAACAAAACAAAAGCAGAAGAATTAAAAAAAAAAAAA